TTATTAAAACAAATATATTTTGTAAAACATAATATTTAAAAACTTAAAAAAAAACATAGCGTTTAAATTAGACATAACATCGATTTTTTTTTAAAAAGTTACAAGACAAAAAAATACATACTTTATATTTCCTAAACAATGCTATTAATCATCGTTACCATTGAAGATATAACCTATCAAGTCTTCTCGAATTTGTTTGTATTTATTTGCGTCTTGAATGTCAACCACTATATGCAAATATTTTGTTGTTTCCGGTTGAAATTGATTGTGTCTAGGCTTTGTTGGTATATAGCAAGGTTGTAGAACCCGCTACTCTGTACCCGCTCAGCCGACTACCGAGTAGCGAGTAGTCAGGGAGTACTCGGATTCGGTAATTCATGTATAAAGATTTTTAAGGAAATTATATATGTCAAAATCATAAGCTAAAATTATAAGTTGATTGAAATATATAACAAAATCAGATACATGTGAATACATAAAAACTAAAAAAACACATAATGGTTTCACTTCATGAATAATTACTGAAAATTTAAGATATATATATATATATATATATATATATATATATATATATATATATATATATATATATATGTAGAAATAATCACTGTGTGTTATATAATAAATTATTAAATATATTATACACATTAATCACCGAGTTAGTCGGGTTTTACAACACTACTCGCTTTAGTAAGTGGTCGATCTGGGAGTACTCGAATTCTATAATTCACCTTGATAAGGGGCCGAGTAGGGAGTACTCGATGAGTTTTACGACACTGGTATATAGTGTGCAATATTTTTTCATTTATCTTCTATTACCATGTTACACATTATGATACATGGATACAAAATATATCATAGAGTTTCTAAGTCTAATGGTCGTGTCGCATGTTCAACTATGTGTCCCTTTGACTTTGAACTCCAAAAGCACGTTTCACACCCTTATGTGCTCATTCTTGTCTTCTATTGAATAACTTATGTTTTGCTTTAACTGGGTGTCAGAATGCCTTCACAAATGTCGAATACAGAGGATATATTCAATTTTTAAGGTAATACCCAAACTTGTATTTGTTTCCATCCACTGAGTATTCAATACCTTTCCTGACAAAAGGTCGTCGAATATTAGTGACTGATCAAGAACATTGATGTCGTTGTTACAACCCGCAACCTCGAAAAATGCATGACAAATACATAAATATTGGGAAGCAACAACCGCTAAAACCAAAGAATGTGATCCAGGATGACCACTTGTATACTGCCCTTTCCATGTTATTGGACAATTTATCCATTTACAATGTGTGCAATGTAACACCCGATTCTCAGGTATATTCTTCATGTCTTAAAAAATAATTATTTTTGAAATAGTGGCTCTACGCGGGGCGTAGCTAGCCAATTTAAGCATGGCGTAACTCATTACTTGGACGTGGGGACTTAATGACCTATGATGGAACCTTGCTCTTGATGAGACCTCGCTTCTGACTCTGGGATGGGACCTTCTTGGTTGCTTGGTTGTAACTGCAAGATCACAAAGAATAAGGGCCGTAAGCCGCTTCCCGGGAGGAGTTCCCGGGAGAACGCTCCGACGATCAAGTTAGGATGGCTTTAGGGTTTGTGTTTGTTCTCTCTAGATTGGTTGGGGAGCTTACCTCGCTAGTATGAGAATGCATCCTTTTATACCTAGTGCCCCTGTCTGGTCCGTACCAGACAGGATCACTTTTTTTTTTGTGGAGATAGGATAAGAGGCGCTGATTGGAGGGTCATGCGCCTTCAACTGCCAGAGCGCTCTCATTGGCTCTGACGGTAATGCTCTGATCCCACTGTTTGTCTCCTGGTTGTACTTTTTTCTTGGAGCGAAGAGCGTCACTTGGCGGGCGCGAGCCTTTCGCCTGGGCATTCCGCTCCCGGGGGCGCCAGCGGGCGCTGAGCCTGCTGGGCTGGGTCTGGCTAGTGTGCCCGTTCTAGGGCTTGGATGCAACTCCGCTGTGCTGCCCTAGGCACGCCATCAAGTCCCCCAGTCTAGTAGCCGTAGCGTTACAGCACTAGTTACGGCGTTCTGGACTTAACTGAATGACGCGTGCTCGTTTTTCTTTACCCGCCGCTCCGTTTTTAATGGTGACGTGACTACGTCTGACTGTTGGTAGTTACATCATCACATCAGTCATTTAAATGTCCCGCCTCTTCTTCTTCTTTAAGAGGGTCTTTGCACAGTTTCTTTTGCTTCCTCTATTCTTCTTTTCTCTTCATGTTCATTCTTCTTTCCCTCTCATGGCTAATCTTCCTGGGATCGTCCTTCTTCTGCCGAGTACCGAAATTGGAGGTCATGTATGGCTTATCCTCCTTAGAAGGTGTGGAATTTCCCTCTGCTGGCTCTAGTATCTCTTCTCCCCCCCCCTGGAAAAATTGCAGTTTTCCAAAAAACCCTAGATGCTGGTATACGATTGCCTTTGACAGATTTCCAAGAGGAGGTTCTTCAGAAGGATGACTGTAGTCTTCAGATGTTGACCCCTAACGCTGTCAACAAAGCGGTTGCCTTCGAGATGATCTGTAGAGCCAATGGGTATGTTCCAGACTATTTCGTTTTCAAGTTCTTTTTCTGGTTCTGCCTTACCAGTGATAAGTGTACTTTTTCAGCCCGGCGAGGGGGGCATGCCCTAGTTCTTGATGGGCGTACCCCCAAAAATTGGCAAGACAAGTGGTTGTGGGTGAATCAGGAACTGGTTGGGAATGGTCGTTACCGTGCCAATGCTTTCACCGATACTGTCCCCAAGCTCTTTCATCATAATCAAGAAGTCTCCGATTACCTGAAAAATGTGCAAGTAACCGCTGAAGATTACTCCGAAGCGATCCTGTCCGGGGTAGGGATGAGCCCCTCCTGGAGGCGGCGTGGCAAGATGGCGGTGTTCTACTCCGTCGTTGATGGTGAGTGTCGCATTCGCCCTGTTTCTCTCTTTACTTTACTTTTGGTGTTTCTCTTAACCGTCTCCATGTGACTTGCATTTCATTCTACTTTTCTTTAGGTGTTAAGTCTTCCTTATCCATGGATGAGGTACTGCGTAAACGCTATCGAGACAAACTGGAGTTTCAAGAGGTGGATCTGTTCGAGCGTCTTCCCCCTCCTTGTCGGGCAGATCATCTCAACACCCCTACTCCTCCTGTCCCTCCAACGGGCTCGTCGGTGCCTGGGGGAGATCCGTTGTTTGCCCGCCCAATTTCCTCTGTTATGCCAACGGTCGGTGTTCCTTCCTCTTACCCGGAGGACTGTGTGGATAGCAAAGAGGGTATTATTGCTGACGTTCGGCGGATGCAGGCGAAACGGAAGGCTATGCAGGCGATGGGTGAGCCGGTGACTGGCGCTCCTCCCGCCCCCAATAGGGTGCATACTAGGCACAGCTTTTCTCGCCTGCTGAGCTCGATGAGTTCCACGCCAGTGAACTCCACCTCCGCTGGCGTGGTTGTGATTCCCGATGATGACGTGCAAAAGTCTGAGGGAGTCTATAGGGCGTCTGAATAGCCCGTTCTTTCAGATTTTTCTTCAATCCCATCTCCAAGTGTTCCGTTTGTCCCCTCCAAGCTTTCTTCCCCAAAAGGCTTCAGCCCCCCCCCCCTAGCCAGTTACAGTTTCCACTGATGGTGCTTCTAGGTCGGTGGTTTTTGTGCCATCTTGGGATCTTCGCAACGATTCTCGTCTTTCTGTTCGTGCCAATGCCTTGGAGTTCTCGCGCCATGCCTTCTCTCCAGCTGCAGTGGGGGATATGGATGCGATGGGTAGCCCTGCCCTTTCTCACAACATGGCTTATGCTGTGGCGTAAGCGATGTTCTATCTTGTTGCAGGTTCCCGGTGCATCCATAGCCTTGGTGAGATGGAGGCCGCTAATGCCACCTGCGGGTCGCGTGTGGCAAGCCTGGAGCACCGCCTGGGTGAGCTTGGCGACGATCTTTGCTCAACTGAAAAGAAATGTGAGTCGTTGGCGTCTAAGAAGAATGTTCTTGATGAGGCTATGGGCTGCATTAGAGGCCAATGTTGATTCTCTCACTCAAATGAATGAACGTTTAATGATCCAGGTTGAAAGTCTCGAGCGTGATGTCGTTGACCGTGACAAGCTTGTGTCATCGCTGCAAGCAGATGTGTGTGCTGTTCGTTGAGATTTGGATTGGCTGCTACAAATTGGTGTTGTGCGTATCGTTGATAAGCTGATAGAGCATCCTGACTTTACCAATGCTATCAGTCTTATCCACCATGCTGCATATGTAGCCGGGGTTGAATCTATCCAGAAAACTTTAAGTGGTGGTGAAAGTGGGGAGGCGGGTGCTAGTTCGCTGTCTGTCGGGCCTGTGGTTAGCGTAAGTGATGCTCTCTTATCCTTTGCTAGTATGGATCACGCAGGTCTGTTGGGTCTGGGAGAGATGGGTATTGATGGTTTGCGAGAGTTGTGTTCTTTTGGTTTAGAGGGCACTCCTGAGGATGCTGCGAGTCGTGAAATGGTGCTTGTGAATGTCATTGGTGTGGGAGGGAATGGTAAAGATTGTGGTGCTAGTGGTGATTGTCGAGCAGGTGTTGCAGGTGGCGATGTTGATGAGGTGGCAGATGATAGGGAAGTTTCTAACGGGTTGGCTGGGAAAGTGAGTGCGGATGATGTTGTGGAGGGGGATGTGGTTGGTGATAAGTCTGTTGGTGATGGTTCGAGGCCATAATATTTCCTTGTTTTGTTTAGTCTATGTGTTTTGCTTTGCAATGGTTGAATTACCCAGAACAATGTTTTTTTCTTTTATATGTATGTGTTTGATATGCACTAAGCATTATCTATTATCTCCTTTTGTGTTTTGTGCTTGGCTTATTCGTTTATCGCCTATTGCTCAAGATGTGCCAAATATTTTGCCTTGTTTGTTATTATTGACACGCTAAGTGTTTGCATTGAGTGCGCTTAGCACTCATCATTCAATCGTTGGAGATTATTACACTAAGTATGAGAAATCAACAATTGCATTACTATTTAACCGCGGGTTTTTTAAATACACTGAGTATTAAGCTCATGTCACTTATGCATGAAATTTTATATATGTCGAGTACTAAACTCATGTCTTTTGTGACATCCCCAAAATCACGGCCAGAAAAGACCGATTTTGTTTATGCTTTATAAAAATTAGAGTACATCATTTTATAAAAAAGGTTGCGGAATTTGTTCCCAGAAAAACACGATAAATATGTTATTAAAACATTTTCGAAGAAACGCATTTTTATTCATCTTAAAACGTTTGGGATGTCATCGTTAATACAGAAACATAAGCGTAAACAGAACTTACATTTATTTACACTAGTGATCTACATCTCTTTAAGTCTCTCAGTGTAAAGTGACTTCATATCAACACCTGTGATATACATAAACTGAGTGGGTCAGGTTGGGAAACCTGGTGAGTACATAGGGTTTTCAACCCACAATAATATAATTGTTATGTTTAATCATCAAACAATTAACCCCATTACCCATCCCCGTTATCTTCTTTACTCTTAAGGATTTAACCTAAGAGTCGTCTATCCTGCATTTGTTTATTCCGAAGTCCCTTACTTCCAGGGTTATAGGACTGGCACTAAATCCATAGCTGCGATGTTAGTTCGTAAAGCACTAATTCCATAGCTGCTATATCCTACTCATCGGGTACTAAATCCATAGCTACCAGCGTTCAACAGGTACTAAGTCCATAGCTACCAATTCCTACAGGTACTAAATCCATAGCTACCAGTGTCTAACTAATAGGTACTAAGTCCATAGCTACCAATTTCTAACAGGTACTAAATCCATAGCTACCAACGTCTGACATGTACTAAGTCCATAGCTACCGGTGTTTGTCCCATAGGCACTAAGTCTATAGCTGCCAATGTATACTCACGTCATCTTCTATCTCTCATCATCTATCTACCCATCATCATACCCCACATATTCGTATATATAAAATACGTATACAGTTTAAATCCTTTAAAACATGTATAAAACGTTCATCCAACATAGACAACAAGTATTCACATAATATGCACACATAGCACGTAGTTTATATAAAATACTTCATATCTATGTGTAAGATGAAATGGACTATGCACTCACCTGATTAGGTGGTGATTCCGAACTCAGACAGCACTTCGTTATCTCAAAACAATTTTTCGATAAAACCTAGTATCATACCACTAGGGTTTAGTCTAATGATAACCGACTAATTAATAGTCTAGCTATTATTACTATTATATAAGCGTTAAATAACAGTCAATATAACTCATAATAATAGCCCAAATAATTGTTTTAAGGTCCTAATAATGTTACTATAATTAAATAAAATCTATATTAAATATAGTATAGGCATAACTCACTTACAATGAGTTTTTATTAAAAACCGGGCTTCGTTGGAGCAGCGCTTTTCTTCTCGGAGCCGTCGGGCGCTCCGGGGCTTTGTTCTCGTGATAGGGAGGTTCTGTAGACTTGGGAGGGGTTTAGGGAGGCTAGAGAGAAGTTAGAGAGAGAAAGAGAGGCTTATGGTGTGAAGAAAATATGAGGAGTTCACCCTTGTATTTATAAGAGTTTTATAGTAAAGTAGCCTCTAAGCTTCGTCCGTAACTTTTGCATACGAGCTCCGTTTTTGTCTGTCTTTTTACCGTTGAGATCCTATTAATGAGATCTTCAACTTTCGTTTAGACCTCGTTAGCTAATTCTCATTCTATCTCGGATTTACAAAACTGTATCGAATTCGCCGCGCTCGAAAAGTAGGGACTAAGCTTCGTCCATAACTTTCGCATACGAGCTCCATTTTTGTCTGTCTTTTTACCGTTGAGTTCCTATTAATGAGATCTTCAACTCTCATTTAGACCTCGTTGGCTAATTCTCATTCTATTTCGGATTTACAAAACTGTATCGAATTCGCCGCGCTCGAAAAGTAGCGACTAAGCTTCGTCTATATCTATCTCATACTATCTCCGTTTTCGACGTTCTTTATATCCATGCGTAGGTAAAAATAATATCTACAACTTTCATTTTGGCTCCGTCGGCTAATTCTCGACCGATCATAAATTTAACAGTAGGAGGCGTTTAGACTGTTAAATGACCGCGAAGAATTCGTAACTCTTTCATACGAACTCCGTTTTCATCCATCTTTTTACTGTTGAGTTCCTATTATTGAGATCTTTAACTCTCATTTAGGTCGCGTAAGCCAAAAACCGCTCGAACTAAAATTCGAGTTTCGGGCTGTACACTACTAAGCTGAAACTTTGAAAAATCATAACTTCCTCATACGAAGTCAGATTTGGGCGTTCTTTTTACGGATTTTCTCATTTTAACATACTCTACGACTTTGGTTTAGATAACTAAGGCTAAAAAGTCTTCTATCATAAATTCACTTTTTACGCTTCCCGGTGCCGTGCCGGTTTTGCCGTAAAACTTCGACGGGCCATAACTTCTTCGTTATAACTCAGATTTCGGCGTTCTTTATATGTACGGAAACCTTGTGACATATACTATAACTTGGTTAAAATTATTTATTCTAAATAATCTTTTGCCGAAAAGTCGTTTTCGACCCATATTGCCTCTAAATTGACTTGCCCGGATCTACGGGCGTTACAATTATCTCCCCCTTAGGATGATTACGTCCCGGAATCATCAACGAAACAGGGCTCGTATAATGACTCCATACGTCATCTCTTCATCCTAGGTAATAATTATAACTTCTATATTCCTTCAAGTCTATCTCTTAGACTCATTGACTGTAAGCAGTACTCGATCGTGCACCTGCTCTCTACCTCAGGCTAGACTTCAAATTATGACCTATCATCATGTGATGCACGTTTAGACTTAGGTCTCTTAGAGTTAAATTCTAAAATAGACTATGCCTTCCTTCATGTTCTAATGTGATATAATCACACTTTAACATGTAGCGTTTCTGGCTACCAACTTCTTTAACAACGAACGCGATACTTCTATTGATCGCTTTGATTTCAATTGTTTGGTTTTTGTCGGACGCTACATCGAACTTGGTTCCCTGAACCACGCAACATACTCATCGTAGTCGGACTCAATTCGGTACGACCACTAGGGTCGGAAATTAACAATCTTTTTAGTCATTATCGAAACGATGGTAATGACATACTTGAAAAAAAAACAGAATCAGTTACTAGCTTCTTGGTAATCCTTGTGACTTTCCCTGATCCAAGTGTGAGTCCTGTGCTTCCGGTAGTATAGGCCTCTACTACCATTCACACCTACTCATACTCGTCCCAAGTATCGTCTCGCAGTTTCCCAAGTCACCATGCAGCAAATCACACAACAATTTCACACACCAGATAACAAAACGAAGATTTCATTATTTCTCGAAACTATTACATAGGTGTTCAAGTTCACCCTAGACTATGCCTCTACTAGGCTACATCGTACGAAACTATGGCTACTGCATAATCCGATCTTCGGGTAAGAAGTCCTCATTCTTGATTCCTTGCATGGTTCTCTGCCTCGTCAAGGATCATGTGAAATGCCCTCGGCCTTGGTGGCGTTTCTGGTCTTGCTGCTTTATTTTTCCTTGGGCAGTCTCTGGACATGTGCCCCTTGCCTCCACATCCGTAACATACTTTGTCATTATGCGTGCAGTCTTTGGAATAGTGACCAGTCCTCCCACACTTGTAACAAGTCACTTCTTCGTTGCACTTTCCACCATGCTTCTTCTTGCATCTATCACACCATCTTGCTTCACCTCCATCTGCTCCTCCAAGCTTTGAGAATTTGCTTTCCTTGTTCGGATCCTTCAAACTTCCGCTTCTCTCCTACCTTATCTTTTTCTAGACCTTTTTCTCTTATCTGGGCCTCTACGTTCTTAGCTGCCCTAACAGCTGCTTTCAAAGTAGTTGCCATTTTGACCATTGGGCCAAAGTCAATGGGCAGTCCGTTAGCAAACCTATCAATCTTGGAGAGTTCAGTAGGCACCAAGTAGGGGAATAGCTTCATCCTTTCGGTGAATGCGGTGGCATACTCGTCAATACTCATCTTCTCTTTCTTCAGGTTCTGAAACTCGTTGTTTAGGTCTATCAGATCTACCTCCGAGCAGTACTGCATTTTCAACTGCTCCAAAAACTCTTCCCACGACATCCTTAAGGCTTCTCCTCGTGGCATCGTATCTGTCAATAGCTTCCACCAGCTCAAGACTCCAGCTTTCAGCTGTCTTACTGTGAAGACAGTCTTCTGTTTCTCATTACAGCTGCAGCTCTCAAACACCATCTCCATCTCAGAGATCCAATCCATAATCTCAACCGGCTTCGGGCTTCCTGAGAGACTTGGGGGTTTCGCACCCAAGAAATTCTTGTATATCCGCCCATCCTTGTTGTTTCTCCCTTCAGGGCCATCCCTTTGCTCACCTTGAGTCCCTACTTGACTCACTTGGCGGCTGTAGTTCCCTTCCTCTGATTGCTCGGGAACTGGCTCTGTCGGTTCAACATGTACGGTAGGTTCGTCCCTATTCAACATTTGTCTCATTTCTTCCCTTTGTTCAGCCAACATAGCCCGAATCATGGCTTGAACTCCAGCCATGGTGACTGGATCAGGCGCAACTTCTTCTACAACAGGTATTTGCTGAACCACTGGGGGTTGGTTCCTGTTCCCATTTGCGTTTACGTTTCCGCTACGGGTTCTTGCCATCTTGATCTATACACCGAATAAGGTGAATCTAGA